GAGTCTTATCAGCAGAGCAGCAACAGGGGCATTTTAGACACTCAATGAAATATTTTTTTTACTTAATTTTTAACAAGCTTACTTATTTTTAAAACACTTTTGACTATTTTGTGCCTAAATAACCCTAGAAAATAATTTGGAATTGACTTGACAGTATATTGTTGTTGATGATTATCTTTATTCATCTTAACATTATTTATGAGGAAATCATCTTTGACAATGCAGAATCTATTTCTTATAAATATAATTTATATAACCTTAATAATAACATTTGAATGAAGAGCTGGAAGGGACCCTATGGATCATCAAGTGCAGCCCCTCTCAAGGAGGCACAGTGGGGAATTGAACTTCCAACCTCTGGCTCTGCAACCAGAGACCTAAGCCATTGAGCTATCCAGCAGTTTTGCTGAGTAGTGTGTGATTGCTTGGGAATGGGTTGTGCAAGGATGGGGACAAGGAATTTGGAAACTATAAAAGATGAGCATCAATTTTAGCTTCTGAGCAGTCAGCAATTTTGTACAGAATTGCAGAATCACAGGGCAAGGTCTTGCTTGGACTCAGACTTCAATATCCTAAAACTGTTGCTACCAGTACTGATCCTGGTGGGAGCAGTTTTCAGATATGAAAGGCTTCCTCCCCTTCAAGGCTCCCAAAAAGTTCCCCAGGTTGAAATGGATCTCTAGGGAACCTCATAATCTGGGAGAGAGGAATAAGAAATTTTACATTAAGGATTAAAATCCACAATTGATTACAACATCAGCTTTTATGCATGTAGAGTTGTGCAACAAGATTTTGGCCAATGTGTATTTTAAATAAGGCCATAATAAATTGATGTTCATGCTACAGGCTTTTCATTCAGCTCAGATAGTGTTGTTTGAATGTCTTTATGGTAACACTACAGCATTTAAAAAGATTTTCATGAACACTTTGACTATATCTTCAAACGTACTTAGAAATCACTGTCACTCCAGCCCATCTGCAAGTTCTCCATTTAGAGAATCTCTCCTCCAAAGATCCCCTCTGACCATTTATTTAAGTGACATCACTCATTTGCTGAGTCCTGAATGCAGGTAGTTGTCTGACTAAGCATACTGATGTGCTTTCAGTACAGCTAATCTGCTCACAGGTCATGCCAGTTTCCTGCAACACCAACTGCAAATCCACCTTTGGCATCTCCTTAGATGACAACTGTTCATATTTTTGGTGAGCTAACTGTGACATAAACACAAGGATTTGTTTATTGTATTTTCTAACCATTTTGCGTTCATTGACTATGCACAAGCCTCAATAATCTTCTTTTAACCCTCATTCAGATGGCGGGAGGGAATTACACTAAAGGTGTGCTGGAGTATTTTCTGACGCCTTGGGAATTCCAGTGTATTGAAGATTAGCAGTAGAGTTAGGTTTAAGGTCTCTGGGAAAGCTATGGTTATATGTCTTGTGTTTCTTGAGCCTATTTAGAACTTCAGTCATCCCCCTCCCCACCACCCCCATGTTTCAGCCTACTGAAAAACACAGTGGCTGAAATCATATTGCTTAGTGTGCCTTGGGAATTCCAATGTGTTGAAGATTAGCAGTAGAGTTAAGTTTAAGGTCTCTGGGAAAGCTATGATTATGTCTTGTGTTTCTTGAGCCTGTTTAGAACTTCAGTCATCCCCCTCCACACCACCCCCATGTTTCAGCCTACTAAAAACCAGAATGGCTGAAATCATATTGCTTAGTGTAGCAAGCTTCACTAAAGCAGGTCAGTTTAATCAGTGGAGATCTGGCAAATCAACTCCTCCATAAGTTCTATTGATTCAAATAGGCCTACTCTAGTTGCAACTTAATTTTGCATAATAGGTCACAGCTAGAGTAGGCAGATTTAAATCAATAGAACTTATGTAGGAGTTGACACCACATTTGCATTGATTCAGTGGGCCCACTCTAGGGCAACTTATTACACTAAGCAACAGGATTTCAGCCGATGCACTATGATTACTGAGTTGCTAGAATACTTCCCAAAAGTCATGCAAAATGGATTGTATCGCTGCAGTATTTTGGATTGAGCCCAGAATTTGCCTTCCATTAACAGCAGGGCTCTGCTCCTGCAAGGTGCCTTGGCACAGATTTTGAGGTACCCCCTGGCTCACTGCACCACGTCTTACCCAATTCAGCGCTCCCCTTTCTGCATAGCCTTTTAAAAAAAAACAATGCCCACAGATTTCAAAGGATGGGGAAGTCCTAATTTGGCAGCCCAAATGCATGTGCTAAACCTAGATCCAACACACACACAATAGGGACTATAGGTGAGTACATTACAAATCCTACAACTAACAGGCACTGCTCGGCAGCTCTGTGGCTTACGTCCCCGGGTGCAGAGCCAAAGATCGGGAATTTGATTCCTCATGGAGCCTCCTTGATAGGAACTGGACTCAGTGATCAGTCCCCAGGTGCAGAGCCAAAGATTGGGAGTTTGATTCCTCATGGAGCCTCCTTGACAGGAACTGGACTTGGTGATCCATAGGGTCCCTTCTAGCTCTGCAGTTCTAAGATGATGATTATGATTATGAAATTAAAAACTCCAGGCACAGTCAAAATTATAAAAACATTGTCTGGTATTATATAACAGATACAAATTGTAACCAAAAACTTAAGTATCTGTTAAATATTTATGCAGTATATGTATGCTGTTCCTAATTTTGCCAGTTTTTGTAGCTCTGATGGTGCTGCTGCTGCTGCTGACGACTACTACTATGACTACTACTACTACTTTATTTACCTTCATCTATAATATTATGTATAATTAGTTTGGAAGACCCATTCAGTCCTATGGAATGTACTGCCATAGAAAAATAAATAGCCTTAGTTTATAACCCAGTAACCCCCACTATACTTACTGGAAGGAAATCTCATCAAAATGTACACTTGGTATCAGAGTATTAATTTGGATTTCAGTTGATATGTTTCTTTCATTGACGTAATGACTGGAATCGTAATCATAATTTATGCATGTGTAAGTGAAGTCACGTAAGTTGTGGTGAATTCTTGCTAATTAATTGGAGAACTGTTCTCCACTCTAGAGGTTATCCACATTTCTGGTTGCTCACCTAGTTGTTCAACATGTGCATGATCAAGAATGTGATTGCTGTACGTTAATTAGTGGTAATTCACTGCTACAACTCACTTGATTTCACTTGCACATGCATAAATCACTAAAAGATTATGGCCTATATTACCTAAATGAAGGTTGTGAATATGCACAGGATGCAGTTGTATCATAGACTATATACAATATAAATGAATAGGCTGACAGGGAGGGAGGGGGAGGTTTGTGTGTGTTGCGTGTGTAGTAGACGATGAGATATTTTGCCAGTTGTTCTCCAGTTAAGAAGCTCTTTCAATCTCTATGTGGAGTATCCTCAATGCAGAGGAAATGTTGAACCTGGTATGATGAGGTTGCCTGGTAGTTGATATGAGCTTTGCAGGTCAAAGAAAGAAAAAGAAAAAGAGCTGTTGTTCTGATGCAAAATTCTATCAGGAAGCAATACTTGCATGGGCAAATCCTTCTATAATTCCCATGGACTGTTTTCAACTATTTAACCTGGGCCTAACAGTGATATCTTCCCTGTGCCATGGCTACTTAGCAACAAAACCTGGAAATGTTAATTTTTGGCTACAGTTCCCAGAATCCCCCCAGCCAGAGAAGACCCTAGCATTGTAGTCCAGAATGATAATGACCAAGTTTTCAGCAAGAGCAGTGTTAGTGTCTTTATTTGGCTGAGGTGAACTGGCATAATATTCTGGATTAGATGCAGAAATTTGACCATTGCTTCTATACGCTGGTTTTTAGCATTGTCTGCAACATGAAGCAGCTGTATAATGTGGTTTTTGAGCAGCTACATAGAAACCCGGTGTAGCATAGTGGGCTGAATTATGGACTAGGATTTAGGAGATATGGGTTCAAATGCTTCATTAGCCATGGAAACTCACTAGGGGGGTGAAACTGAAAAACCACCCCTTAAACATGTCACTTGCCTTGGAAATCCTATAAAATGGTTCTGACTTGATGGCACATAACACACCCGCACAATATACAATGGACATTCTATATGGTCCCATCCATGAAATTCCACCACCACATTTAATCTCATTCCCACCGCTATATCACATGCATATCCTATAGACCTGTGGCCCAGATGTGATGCTTTCTGTGTCTGAAAAAGCAGGTTATGGCCCATGAAAGCTTGTGCTGAACTAAAAGTACTGTAAGATTTTTTTGATTTTGTTTTTGTCTTGGTATTTTTTCCTGCAGAAACAGACCAATATGGCTGCCTCTGTGGAAGCTGCTTTTCCAGGGATCAGTGTGTATTTCACATGAAGGAAGGGGGTTATTTCTCCATGTGCACATGAGCATGTATATGTGTGGGTTTTAAAGTACATTTTGTAGTGAAATGTGTTAATTGCTTGTGTTTTACCTTTTAAAAAGTACACTTTGAGACATGCTTCATTGTTGTGGCAGGTTCTTTATGAGTTCTTTGACACAGTCATTTTTTCTAGATGGTTTGCTAGTTTATTGTTCAATGCCGTTCAGCTATTGTTTTGTTGCTTTCTACAGCTTGATGTTGTTTGCTTTAAGCCTTCTTCTTATAACCTGTGAAGGAGTACTTCACTTTGGAATGTAACAACTTTTAATAAACTCTAATCGGTTCTATTTTCTTCTGCCTGGGACTTGCTGTCCTGTTCTTGTTGCAGAGCATCCTAAGCTGGCGAAATTTCTTTTTTCACTTGATGTACTACATCTCACTGGCACCCCTCTTCCTTCCTGGCACTAAAAATACAATCTTAATTATGCCAGAGGTGGTCACCTCTCTCTGCCTGACAGTAGGGTCAGCCCTGTCCTTGTGGCTTTTTTTCTTGGCACTAAAGCACATTCAACCAGGTCTCATTTGAACCTGTTGGGTTCCTGGTTTTGAGTCTCACTCACATGGCATGTTTCTTGAAGTGTTTCCTTTCTCTAGCCTGTTGCAGATTCACCTTCAGCATTCTTAGCTCCCTGGGGGTGGAGGTGCAAGAACCAAGAACTGCCCACAATCTGAAGTATGCATGGCTGTTTGGTGTGTAGATGTTTGGGGTCCCCCCAATCTTAAATGTATCTATTATTTTAATATGCACATTCCAGAACTTGGAAACCTTTTTTTTAACCATAATTTTTAGATATCGCTGGACAACATTGTTGGATGTTGTAGTACAAAACAAAAGGAATGATTTCACTACAGATGGTACTTTTGTATTTAATGAGCTTCCACCCCTGTAAGTCAGTGGAGACCCTCCAAGCCAAATTATGGGGATGCAAGACCCAAAGCAGCAGAAATTAGAATAGCCCATCTACCTTTATTTAGTTCCCAGCCATTCCTCTGGTAAGTGGGGAGAAGAGCACTCCACGGAGCTCTGAGAATCAGGAGCTTTCCTCAAGGGAGCCTGGGAGAGGGGGTTCAGACACAGGCCACCAGGGCTGCGAATGGAATAGAGGCAGAGAGGCTATTTTACTTTCTGCTTTTGGGGGGCTCAAATTACCATACTTTGCTTGAGGAGTTCCCACTGCCTTATGGGGGTGGACAGCCATTAAATTAAAAAGTGCCAGTTTCTGTACTATGGAACAGACAGACACACTGTGTTGTATGGATGCAACTTATGCAAACAGATGACTATGTCCCTCTTCGCAAAGATTCCTGCAGACACTCCTGTGTGAAGGGGTATGATGTAGTTTCCCAATAGCACAAGGCACTTTGAGTCATTTCTGCCTTCATGGAATATGGAAAGTTTCTAAAATTCAACCCCAGTTACTTTTAAAGCAGATAATTAATGCTCTTATTCTGAAATAAGACACCTTACAGATGTTTGTGGACTTTGTGGCCTAAAAGCTGTACTTTGTCCAACTCTGGACTAGAATGTGTACCATAAAACCTATGTGCTGTACTATTCAGCCTGACCTACTTCACAAGGCTGTTGTGAAGAATGAATGAATGAATGAATGAATGAATGAATGAATGAATGAATGAATGAATGAATGAATGAATGAATGAATGGAATACAGGTGTTTATGTCTTTCACTGCAGAAAGCAAGAGGGCTGGTCCTACCATGAGACAAGACGAAGCAGCCATTTCAGACAGATTTTAGGTGTCATTAAAAGGCAACAAAGCATTATTTTAGTTGTCATTCTGCATTTTTATAGCTGGGAATAGGGATAGCTGCGTGAGAATCAGGTGTTAGTATAACTCACTGGCTTTGGATATTTTTCAGAATATCTGTGGCCATATCTAGATTGCAAAATCTGGGACAGAGCTGGTAAATTTGTGCTCTGTATATGGATATCCTGGTGGTGGCTCATTCCTTCCATTGGAAACACAAGCATGGATTGGATGTTGTGATGGAGTAGGGGAAATAGCAAACACACAAAAGGATAGATGCATAGGAATGGGCTACTGGCTGCTGCTGTCAAACAATCTTTAAGTTTGTATTCAGATAATCTTTGCCTTACTTCTACCTTGAGGGTTACAAAGGGAAAGGACTGATTCCCATTCCTCTCAACTCCTGATTTTGTCTCTCCTGACACCACCATCATCACTGTGTGCTATCAAGTCAATTCTGACTTATGGCAAAGCTTTTCAGTGTTTTCTAGGTAGAGAGTACTCAGAAGTGGTTTATCATTCCCTTCCTCTGGAGGCTCTCTGGGACAGTGCAAGTTGTTCAAGGCTATACAGGCTGGCTCATCTCCCTGCAGGCACAGTGGGGAATTCAACTCCCAACCACTACCTGTAGCAGAACATTTCAGGAAGATGCTGACAGATTTGTTTGTATGTTCTGACAAAGCACACAGCCTGGGAATGTTACTCAGGCTAAGATGGTTCTGGGAACTACAGTAGCCCAAAGTAACTTTTCCATGTTCTGAAGAAGAGATACTGAGCATTCTATCTTTGTTTGTAATCTGTCATATGACATGATGTACCTATTTCTCCCAGGCGGCAAACTGCAGAGGAGCGGGAAGCGGAGAGGCAGCAAGCCAATCGCATCCTCATGCAGCTCCAGCAAGAGGCCTTTCAGAAAACCATCAACCAGCCCATCCAAGCAGACCCCATCTGCGTCCATAACTCTTCCCTCTTTGCTCTCCAGAACCTCCAGCCATGGTCAGATGACTCTTCTAAGATTACCAGCGTGACTTCTGTAGCTTCTGCCTGTGAGTGAAGCCTGGATTTTTGCCTATGCATGGACTGTTGTGTTACAAAATGGCTGGCCTTCTTCAACACCATTGGTGGAAGATAGAATTGCCTATAAAGGGGATGAACCAGCAACCAGATGATGCCGAGGGCGAATGAATGCTCTCTTGGTGAACAAAATGCCCACACAGTGACTTGTTGGAGTACTTTAATTAAGGCCATCACTTTCACCTCTTTGTCATCATCCTCATTATCATCTTCTTCTCTGAACTTGTAACAGGTTATGAACATCCAAGCAGGGTTCTTTTAAGACTCTTTTAGGAATAAAGTAACCCTGTTGTTGTGTTTCAGATGTTTCCAAGATGCAAAATCATAAATATACTATACGTACATGTTTTAGACTGATAATTTTAAAGTAAAATAACTAACTAACTGCAGTCTAACAGAAGAGTTGGAAATAACAGTTCTTAAATCTCCAGCTGGAGGCCTTTGAAGAAAACACATTTAGATCCTTCCAACAAACAAAAACTTGCCAACTTTTTTAAAAACACATTTTTCAGAGATGAAATTCTTTGGACCTCTCATCTTTTTGTTTTTTGTTTTAAATTCATTTTCTCTCTGCTGAAGGAATGAAACCAGAATTATTGTTGAATGTAAACATCACATTGCAAACCACTGTGTGAGAAATCTAAGATCAGTTTCTCTGGCTACCACAGACTCTGCATCGATCAACTTATATTTTAATAACTCTGAGGCATCTGTGGCATTTTTGCAGCAGTAATGCAGTTTCACTTGATGGATTATTTTGGTATTGTTTATGATATTGTTCAATATTTTATTTACTCTTGCTTGAGAAGTCAGCTTTGTAATGGGAGGGGGCATCTCTCGCCTTCAATTTCCTGACCAGCAATTCCATAACGTTATTTTCATTGCATTGAGGAAAAGCTTGTGATTAATTTAAGTACCTCCTATAACAAACTCCAAGAATATATAAAGATATCTACAATATATAGTTTCCATTTACTTTTTAACCGTCACTGCCACTTAAAATCTGATAGTATTCATAGCCAATCAGAAAACTGATTAGAAAAGAGTATTTTCCTTGAGTTTTTGAAACACATTCATCAGTCTGTTTTTAAGTTATGCACTTATAAGATGCTTTCCTTTTTTTGTGTGTACTCCTTTTCTAAAGTGTTTGTGTAATTTATGTGGAAAAAATAAATAAAAGGGGAAAAACAGTCCCTGTTACTGGAAAGGTAAAAATCAATACCTCTCCCTGTGGTTTTTCTCTTGATTTTTTTTTCCAAATCAGAGATTATGTAATGGTTTTCTAGAAGACCTGGTTTTGGAATTCAAAAGCAGCTGGAGAGTTCTAACTTCCCATTCCAATAAAACCCATGCATTCCGGTCAATGTATTGGTGGTCAAAACATATTTCAATGGGAAATAATGGATGTGAAGCAGCTATAGCAATATGCTAGACATTCAGGTCTTCATTATATCTGAGTTTTAAAATGGTTCTTAACCAGTCCTGTTTTTTATACCAATGTAAAGCCTGAATGGACTAGAATCTTCTTCCTATTACAAATAAATCCCTCGCTTTCACTGTCCTTTAGTCTGAACAAGGGCCACATAATAGTTTAAGAAGCAAAATTTCAGCCTAAGACTTGTGTATTAAAAGGAAACTGATTGCCTACACATGTTAATGGCACATTACTAGGGAAGCTTTGTTTGTATGAAGTGGTGGTGAGTGGGCTCATGTGATTACCTGTGCATCAGAACTGCCTTGGAATATCATTTGCTATCATCATTTCCAGCAGAGCAATTACTAGATAGAAACTGCTGAAGAGAAATTACTTACCAGGGCACAGGGGATGATTAGTTTTTCGCAAGAAGGGTACCAACTGCAGCATTCATCATCAGTTGAAAATCTTGGGATTTTATTATTTCCAAAGGATTCCAGGACCCAAATTGGAAAGGTTTGTATATGACCTGTTGTGATTCCAAAATGCATTTTGGAGTGTATGTATACAAGTGTGCATTAATTGTGCCTTCTGCCTATATTTTTCAGCTTTTTATCCACAGCACCAGACATTAGAATAAAGGTTTTGTTGTCTATGTGATTTCTCCCCTCTTAATTGCAGATATAATTTTTACAGCTATATCTTAAGAAGTGAGATCTGGTTACTGAAGATTCAGCTTGCGCATCACCAGATATCTGGGACCTTACCTGAAGACGGAAGAGCCATCTCATGCTTTCCATCTCATGCACCAGCTTTGGCTTGCTGGTGGAGGATTCTGGCAGTTGCAGACTTTAAAAGTAACATTTTGAAGCTCTGAAGAGAATATCAGCTTTAAAAGCATCCTTACGTGTGCCTGATGGCTGGCTGCTGACATCTAGCCAATGAGTCTGAATATTTTTAGCCCTGGAATGGAAATGGTGTGGAATATTTCACCTGGAATTGAACAGTTGCATCATTTCAATGACTATAATAAACTCATATCTATTGCTAATGTTAAAAGTGTTCAAAATTAACAGTTCACATATCCAAATGCATCCTGTATTTATAATGAGTTGTAATATTTATCAATTACCAGGTCAAGCAATATCAATGCCATCATTTTGTGAACAACACAAAATCCTGAAAGCTTTTTGCTGATTCTAACATCATGTTTTGAATGAAAGCTTGCTTAATTTTGGAAATAAGGTTCAGAACTTAAAAGTTTTATGGGGCAAAGTTCAACTGTGTATGCTTTTGCAACCCATATGGCAAAGGTGTATGAAAAGGAATGCAAGACATTTTAGGTGTTTGAATGAGCTCAAGAAGGCTAGAAGTATACGGAAGGGAGGAGCCATGTCTACTGGCCCCAGTGCAAATGTCCTCAAGAGTGCTGGGCTCCACCTGCTCTGGTCCTGAACTTGTTATGCTGAGTAACAAGGTCAAAGGAGGATTTTTATGTGGTTCTAAACAAATATGTGTAGAAGTCTTCCTTCGATCTTGTCATTCCACATGGAGGCTGACTACATAGTCATTTAGCCTGTTGTTTGGTCCACGTGGTGGCGCTGTGGGGTTAAGCTGCAAAAGCCTCTGTGCTGCAAGGTTGGAAGACCAGCAGTCGTAAGATCGAATCCACGCATCAGAGTGAGTCCTCGTCACTTGTCCCAGCTCCTGCCAACCTAGCAGTTTGAAAGCATGTAAAAATGCGAGTAGATAAATAGGTACACCACGGTGGGAAGGTAACAGTGTTCCGTGTCTAGTCACACTGGCTACGTGACCACGGAAACTGTCTTCGGACAAACGTTGGCTCTACGGCTTGGAAACGGGGATGGGCACTGCCCCCTAAAGTCAGACACAACTGGACTAAATATCAAGGATAACCTTTACCTTTACCTTTACCTTGGTCCGCTGCAGGGTAGGCTGGTTCACTCCTAAAGACATTTTTGCTGGAGTGAACCAGAGTGTTCCTACCTGCACCTGTCAGGGCCCTATCGGGAGCTTCTACTTTTTGTGTGTATGGGTAGGATCACTCAGGTTTGCATCATTTCAATCATGTGTTACCATTGGAAATGATCCAAAGCAAGGCTTCCTCTTTCAACATGTCAATAATGTGAAGTGGCTTAATAAGAGAGCCACCTCAGGATATTCACAAATTGAACACTTCCTCAGCTCTGTGGAGGGGTGAGGAAGTGATTTCTTTCTCTTAAAGACTGGATTAATACAGTACATATGTGCTACATTTAACAAAATAAACACCAAAACAGGAGGAGATTGGAGGGTGCAAGGAGGGGAACCTTTCTTTGCTTAAAGGAAATAATGAAAGGAACTTGTACATCCAATAAAATCTTAGGTCAAAAGGAAGGAATTATAGTTGCAGGATTTAGAAAACATAATGTTCTATATTTCAGTGTAAAATGCCCAACATGTTTTGGCATATCAGCCTTCTTGAAGGGCTATATAACATTTTAAAAATTACAATTAGAACATTATAACTTATTGGGGACAACATCATACAAATAAATTCATATAAACATTATAGTTTCTCTTAAAGGGCTGGTCTATTTAGTAAGGCTGAGGGAGCTGTGTCTGGCACATATGACGACACGAAAAGATGTGTGCAGCCCCATACTTAAACACATTTTAGTCTTATATAAGTTTTTCAGTGCTTTAAAAGGGCTACAATGGATTAGCTTTGCTTTGTTTTCTAGAAACCTTTTCTATGTGCAGTGTACTACTTGGTTTTCATTCCTTTGGTTGATATGACTGGTAACTGTTTTCGTCCATTGCAAAGCCCACTTCTGTAATATTTCTGTTTAAAGTAGCAGTGGATAATGGTGGTCCTCCACATTTTTTTTTAACTACAACTCTCATAAACCCCCCACCTCACTGCACTGGCTATATTGGTAAGTGCTTGTGGGAATTGTGTGGCTAAACCAATAAAATCACCCATCCCAGCCTTGGTATAATAGACAGAAAAAGCAAAAACCAAAGTATGCTGCTTATATAGTGCCCCATAGTTCTTAAAACACTCTATGGGTGTGCGTGTTTTTTTTTAATTATATAGGTTACACATTTCCCCCCACTGCAAGCTGGTTACTCATTTTACTGACCTTGGAAGGATGGAAGGCTGAGTCAACCTCAAGCCAGCTGTCAGATCCATTGGTATTGAATGCTGACTGTGAGCAGGTTTTTGCCTGAAATACTGTACTACAGTTTTATCTCTGTGCCATGAGGCTCACACACAATTGCCAGTGAACAGTCCCATCAGGCTCTAGTTGGATGGGAACGAATGAACATTGCCTGCAAAAATTCTTGGGCTCAGTCTCCAATCTCCAAATTTGAAACTCTGTAGAACTGCCAGAACTGACACTCAGTGTAAACTGAGCTGGAGGAATGTGTGGCGTTGGATTACAACTCTCATTGTCTCTTACCATTGTCCAGGCCTGCTGTGGCTGTTGGAAGCCACAATCCAACAACAGCTGGAGCACCACAAGATCCCTTGTCCTGGGTTAAATAGTACTGATTTAGAAACAAGAATGGCCTGACTCGGTACAAATCAGCTTCCTACGTATATATAGAGTTCCCAAGGGTAAGGCGCATATGGAGTTAATGAATATCTGGAGTGAGTCATGCTAAGGATCGACTACTAACTAAGTAAAGATGGTAAAATAGTTAAAATAAAATTCTACTGGCGAGGAACAATGACAAACTGAAAGAGTGCCTGAAATTGTATTCCACTCAATACAGATTGAGTTGGTCAACAGTAATGTGTACAGTTATATGATTTTAATGCTGAAAAAGAATGAAATGGGAAATAAAACATTCTAGATACCACTACAAAATCTGCCTGGAATTCCACAGCATTCAAAAAAAGAAAAATTCAGAGCAGCAAGCTAATGAAATTGTTGGTACACAAAGGTCTTAATTTAATAAATATTCATATAATTGGCAACATCTGCTGGTAAGAAGGTAGTATGAGGAACTTGTAGCCTTTTATCATTGCTTTTCAACTTGTACCCCAGGACCATTTTTAGAGAAGCACTTGTTAAAATAACAGTATCATGGTCAATGTGAAGATTATCAACAGCATCCAATATGTATGTGATACAGTATTTGTTGCTAACCATTTAAATAGTCTGCATGGGTTTATTGACAAAGTAACTTGGTTTAAACATGAATGGTAAGAAAACCAAGTTCACTGTACAGTACTCAGTAAAAAGCAAACAGATGAAAAAATGCAGTTAAAAGTTGCCAAAGGGATTGATTGATTGATTGATTGATTGATTGATTGATTGATTGATTGATTGATTGATTGATTGATTGATTGATCGATCGATCGATCGATCGATCGATCGATCGATCGATCGATCGATCTGGCCTGAGGCCACACTGAGCAGTATACAGAAATGAACAAAAGCAAAATCAGTAATAATAAAACATCAACATAATAAAATAAAATGAACAAAACAAAACAAAATTCAACTACAGTAAATTGTAGAAGTGTAGAGTATGTTGAAAAATGTAAGTGGATTAG